AAGTATTATTTTTAATATTGTTTAAGGTTTTTATACTTTAAAAAATGATTTACGTTATAAATTTATTTAAGCATTGTTGTACATCTTCAAGTTTTATCATGAAATTATACTTCTCCTATTATTCCTTCATTTATGAGCGTTGAGCTTTTTGGGAGCTTCACATCCTTCGGACAACTAGAGTCTCTCAATATGACCTTTAATAAACTTACATGATTTTTTAGAGTCAAGCTTAATATTTGATAATCATATCTACTTAGTCTGCCAATATACAAATGACCATCATAATCTTATCCCTGATACTAACACCAAGGGTCAATATAAAAGCAGTCATACAAGGCTGATGAAGGGGACTTTTCTATCTTTAGGACTTCATCTTCTACCTTATTTCTACTCGATATTTAAAAGAACATATGCTTATAATATTTTGCAATACCACCATGAATCATCAGTTGTGGCTTTTCGCCTAAACCAAAAGAGACAAACTATCAAGAATCGACATAACTCATTTGTTCTCATCAATAATTGGTGCAATGAGCATGAAGAATTTCTCGACCGAAAAGAATCAGTTGACATGCACCTCTCATCTCTTTCTAAAACATCGTCTATAAACCACACCATGTCATCTACTAAGAAATTTGCTGATGTTGCTCTCAAGCTTGAGGTAGGTGATAGGTACAAACAAGGTATCGATGATGATATTTTTGGGAAAGATTTTAGTTAGATCCGGGATTGATTTCTGACCATAAACCTGGATTTGTCAAGGTAAGTTTGTAGATCAAAACTCTGGTATGATACCATGTAGAATATAAGTACAATAAAAAAATCTCTCTTAGTATATATTAGTGATGCAACCTCCAATATACGTAAACATCAGACTTTTACTTATCCGCTTTAGTACTGGAATTTTTCGAAGGCAAGTCCTCGATCACCTCTCCAAGAATATTTTCTTATTGTCTTTATGGGAATCTTATATCCTTTATCATGTTTCCAAGACATTGAGATATCTTTATTATGCTGTCATTGTGAGGATGTTTTCTCTCTAACTGAAATATTTCACTTCATTAACTGGTCACATGAGTTAAAATGCCTTTGTTGTTTACTAATAATAATATGCCTCTACCTTGAAATCGTTGAGATGTCTCCACCCCAAGCTTTCGGCTTATAAAATTCACTTAAGGGATTAGAGTATTGAGAAATCAACAACTTTGTAAACTTCCAGAAAGTATATTCAAGCATACATTTACAAGAGTTTGCATGCTGCTTTATACAACTTACAATGCTAAGTTAACTGCTGCTAAGTACACTAACAATATCAAGTAACAAACTAACAACCTCAACTGCTAACTAACATCAAGAACTACTCTAGTTGCAACCACCCGAGCACTACTCCTAGCTGAACCTCAACTATACTTAACATTCTCCCTGTTTTTTTCTCCCCCAAAAAATGTGCAACACCCCAATCCGTACCCGATCCGGATAAGAGTTCGAGATGTCATATTGACTTTTAAAAAAAATATCCTTGCAAAATAACATAACATTTGGAATTATATTAAGAAAATACAATCATATACTGTTAAATTATGTTTCATTATAAAAATTTAAGTCAAAGACGTTTTTATGAACAATAATATACAGTATGAACAGTATTATATTGTATGAACAATAATGTGAATAATAATGAACATTACCGTGAACAGTAATATAAATAGTACCGAATGTTAAAATTTTCCAGAATTAAACAATGATACAGATACCCTGCTACAGTGTACCGATACCCTTGCTACAGTAACTTTCGGCAAAATATATAAAACTCACAAAATACTTAAACTTCCATAGCTATACATTTACCATTTACATAAATACGTTTAAAACATTACAAAACTCGATCAGAGCATATCGGATTCAAATCTTTTATATTACATGCCAACTAAATTCTATGTAACAAAATACATGTAATTCAACTACATTTCTGATCTGATCTACGGTAAGGAGAACTGACATGTCTTATTCTTCTTTATTTCTCTTTTTCGCTTTCCAAACCTACGTGTGAAACAATCACACGCTAAGTCGATGACTTAGTGAGGCATGAAAACATGTAACATTACTCTACTCATATTAATACATAAATAATTGATACTATCATATCATATAAAAACATATACCCTATCATAGAACCACTGCATACATGCACATATATCATTATTTACCTTCTTAGCATTATCCTTAATCCCTTAGTCATATGCTCTTGTATCTAACACTCTTAACCAAACAATACACACATCATCATATAATTTCTGTAACATTTTATGTCACCAAAAGCATATACATCACATATATTATATTTGTGTTATCTCTTTAATTAGCTCATGGTACACTTGTGAGAACTAAAGATATGTGAGTACATAGAGGTTGTGCACACTTATGTTGTCACCACAGCTCGTATAATAATCTTTTCATATGTCCCGGAGAACATAGGTAAACTGTCCATATGTCCCGAAGAACATAGGCAATCTTGTTCATATGTTCTAAAAGACATAGGTAATATTGTCCATATGTCCCGAAAGGCATAGGTAATACTGCCCATATGTCCCGAAAGACATAGGTAATATTGTCCATATGTCCCGAAAGACATAGGTAATACTGTCCATATATCCCGAAAGACATAGGTAATACTATCCATATGTCCCGAAAGACATAGATAAACCCTCGACTCTTGGCATGCCAACTATACCACTAGCTCATATCACATAACATGGGCACTATCATTGTAGTTCATATCATTGCTCTTATAATCATATATTTCTTCTTTTCTGTCACATATCACATGTGCATATAATCACGTAGTTTACTTTCATGACACTTTTCATATGATTTCATATTCATATGTCACATAGCTCATATCACTTTGCATGGTTTCACATAAATATATATCATATCTCATTCACATATTTTTCCCATATAACTTATCTTACATATTCATATAATCGCTTATGTCTATGTCTCCTAACTTAAATATTGTTCTCATAGAATTTCATAACCTTTCTCGTGTACTCACTAATACTATATAGTATAAATTGTACTGAGTCAACTTATATTCACTTGCTCATTTCATTCCTTATGCCTTTATCACATAATTTATTTCATATTCTTTTACCATCATATAGATCATTTGTATTGTTTCATATAACTTATCACACTAACATATATTTATACAAATCATATAACATACATAATAACATGTTAACACGTATACCCATTCATACAAATAAATCATGTATCATTTATCTAATCATGTAAACACATATAACTTATGTATGTATTGTAAATCAAATATCATTTTAGGAGTCACTTCTTACCATAGTAACTCCGTCACTGGCTCATCGCAAGCCAATGTTTATTCGATAATATAAGTACAAATTAAATTTGCACTCACCTTAGCCTTGCTTGCTTTGACTTGATCCTAATTCTTTGATTGTTCTGGAACGAGATTACGTTCTACATCTACATAACAATACATATATCCATATCAATATCCCAATTGATATACTCTAATCTTTCCTTTCTTGAACTAATGAAAGTGTTACTTTCATTTCTTGACTAAACGAAAAGCTTAATTTCATTTTCTTTTAGGGTGGTATCGGTACCTCCCCCCTAGGGTATCGGTACCTCTATTGAAATCTGTAAATTTCGTTTAAGAGTGTATCGATACTTATTGAATGGGTACCGATACCCTTTGCCCAGAAAATCACTTTTTAAGTTCGAAAATATCAACTCTTCACTCAATTCTTCTATTTTAAGCCCCTATCATGCCATTAAACTCGACTACCATTACTTAAACCAACTTATATATATATAAACCATCTTTATCTTCCATATCTCATCATGATTCTTAAAATTAAGAATCTTACTAAACTTTCAACTTTGTTATTAATCATTTTTAACTTCATAAATCTCTTATTCTTAGTGATGACAAGTCAAATTTCTTCTCAAAATTCACTTATTAACTATTTTCCAGAAATTCATCTAAAAACTCATTTTCTTTAATCTCTTCTATACATTTCAACTTGTTGTTTTAGAACAAATTAAGTTTTCCTTAAGCTTAATTATCATCTAATGATCATAACCCAACCTTAAATTTAACTAGAAATTAACTAAATAGAAACCTCACCTTTGAGCTTAGAGATACGGGATGAGAGGAAGAAGAAGAAAGAATAAGAGAGTTTTCAGATAACTCCCCCACCCCCACGTGATTCATATTTATCAAAGAAAGAAAAATATCTTTCTTGTCAAATGACATTTTGCCCTTTAATTCCTTTGATAATTACTAATAGATTTCAGGAAATATTTCCAAATAAATCATTAAACTATTCAAATATTTTACTTTTATCACCAAATTCTCAAATTTTACAATTTGGTCACTAACCCGGTATTGAGGATGTTACAAAACGACTAAACATTAAGCTTTGCACGAAACAATTCAAACTGTGTTGTTGACAAAGGCTTGGTCAAGCCATCAGCTACTTGATGACTAGCAGGAACATAGTTCACTAACACATGCTTGGCTCAAGCTCCACATGCTTTGTTTTAGCATGATACACTGAATTTGTAGTTATGGCAACTGTACTATTATTGTCACACCAAACCACAAGAGTCTTCAACTGTTGCACTCCCATATCTACAAGCAATACACTCACCCATGTTGTTTCAGTAGTAGCATCAGCAACATTTCTATATTCAGCCTCCATGGTGATCGAGAAACCGACTTTTACTTTTTCGAACTCCACATAACCAGATTATCACCAACAAAAATACAATTGCATGTGATGGACTTTCGATCATCTGTATTGCCACCCCAGTTAACATCAACAAATGCTACAAAATGAAGTCCTGTCACTGCCGGTGCTACAACCAGACCATGGTTTCATAACCCTAAACCCCAAAACAAACTTACATTAACTAAGAATCAATGTCTCACCACATCATTTAACCTCAATGCCAAGAAAGAAGTTAAATTCTCCATGATCCTTCAGAGAAAATTCATCACTCAACAGTTTCACAACTTCTTCAACATGTGCATTTACTGGTCTGATACCCACAACAGCACCACCAGCTTGTAATTTGCTAACATCTGCAACAAGCTCAAGAGACCTTGATTTAGAATTTGCAATACTAAATGTGACAGGAGAGGCAGCATCACTCATGAATGGAAAAACTAACTCATCAAAGATTACATGCCTAGATATATAAATTCTTTCATCAGTAGCTAGGCACATATAACTCTTATGATGTGGACTGTACCTAAAAATGTGCACGACTGAGACCTGAAATCCAGCTTGTGCCTCTAAAACACTCTCAAATGTGGATATTACTTACATCCAAACAACCTCATCAATTCATACTCAGGCTTCTTTCCCCACAGCTTCTCAAGAGGAGACATATCATCTAACACTTTTGTTGGCAAGCGATTGATGATGTATACGGCAGTGACAACAACATAATACCAACAACATAGAGGCATTGCAGCTTGGGCCAGAAGCACCAAAGCCAACTCAACAATGTGTCTGTGTTTCTTCTCAACTACCCCATTTTGTTCAGAAGTATGTGGACAGGCTACCCGATGAATGATACCATCTTTAGCTAAAACAAAATAAAGACTCCAATACTCACCACCCCAATCACTTTGAACAACTTTGACAGGCACACCAAACTGAGTCAACTCCATTTTCTGAAATTATTTAAAAACAACCACAACGTGTGACCTATCTGTTAGGAAGTATACCCAAGAATGCCTTGAATATGCATCTACAAATGACAAATAGTAACGATAACTATTGGACATTACATGGGTCGGTCCCTAAATATCAATGAACACAAACTGAAACGGTGCAGTATAAACAATAGTATAATCAACAAAAGACAATTTATGTATTTTACCAATGCAACAAGCTTCACACATGTTATTCATATCCTTAGAAAGCATTACATCAAGTGTTTTACAAACATGAGCAACAGTGATATACGTTGTATGTCCTAATCGACAATGCCAAAGTCTGAAACTATTTGAAGCAACAGTTGAATGAGTAGCATCATTTCGACAAGCACCTGGAATTTGATCTCCTAAGAAAAATACAAACCGCCCTCAACACGACCACGCAGTAAAATGTCCTTAGTAGTAACATCACGAACACAACATCCTTGAGCATGAAACTCAAAGTACACTCCATTGTCCCTAGCAAACTTGGACACCGAGAGAAGATTCTATGTTATTCTAGGCACATGAAGTAGATCATTTAGCAATAACGACCTAGTTGATGTTTCTAAGGTAGCATCACCAATCATATTAACATGTAAAGAAAGACCATCACCAACTATAAACTTATCTGGGCCACCACGCTCTACCCGATGAGTATTACCTGACTTTGGTATCACATGATGAGTGTCACCCGAATCCACCACCCATTCATCTTGAACAGGTCCAGAGGACAAATGTTCACGAGAAGTACCTTCTGTCCCCGACTAAGATCGTTAATTACTCGAACAACATTCACAGACAACATTATCATAAGATACATTATTAGCTCTGGCTGAGTCACTCGTATACTGAGATTGACTGGTACTAGAAGATACAATCTGAAAATTCTCATCTTACTAATACTAGCATAGGTCAACAAAATGATGTAGCTATCCACACTGCTGGCATTGAACTCGCGACCTTCCACGTCCACGACCACTCTTGCCATTAGATCTCCCACCAGAAAGGTGGGCTGATGAGATCGATGATAATGTGAGTATGAGTGCGAGCCATCCTTAATAGGCTCGAAGCCACGAGCAACATTCTCACTTGCCAAGACTACCTCTTCTTGAGCAGCAAACCCTGCTAACTGTGTTTCAGCATCAATGAGAATTGTACAAACTTTTTTCTAAAGACAAAGGCTCTCTACTGGTAGTGATCACTGCCATGAAGGGTTGATACTCCCGAGATAACCCTTTTAGAATACTTGCTACCTGACCAACTGTGGGAACAACACTGCCACAAGATGCCAAAACATCACATGTTTCTTTGATTCGAGACAAATACACCCGCATACTATCTTCACCTTTCTTGAAAGACTGTAGCTTGCAATGCAAATTCATAACTGTTGTCGATGATCTGGTGGCAAAGAATTGTAACACAGTATTCCAGACTGCAGAAGCAGTCTCTGCTCCAATAAACTGAGAAAGCAAATGATTGCTAATAGTTGACAACAAGCAAGACACAACGCACTATCTTGGGCCACAAAGTCCTCATAATCTTCATTCGGAATAATTGCACCATTTTTATCAGCAATCAACTCAGGTGGAGGCTTCATCGCACCAATAAGCAGTCGTTTAAGACGATGACTATGAACGGTAAGTAGTACTTACTGTTTCTACAGTAAAAAATTCATTTCATCGAGCACCACATTAATCTTTTTGTTTGAAAACATCTTGATTCTGCTGGAGGAGTAAAACACTTCACCAAACAACATGATCAAGCAGCAAAAGCACAAGAAAGGTCACCAAGATCTTTGGCGATTGATACCATGTTAAGAAATCAACAACTTTGTAAACTTCTAGAAAGTATATTCAAGCATACATTTAAAAGAGTTTGCATGTTGCTTTACACAGCTTACAATGCTAAGCTAATTGCTGCTAACTACGCTAACAATATCAAGTAACAAACTAACAACCTCAATTGCTAACTAACATCAAGAACTACTCCAGTTGCAACCACCCGAGCACTGCACCTAGCTGAACCAGCTATACTTAACATAGAGAATCTCCGCTCTAACAATAAGGGTTCCTTTATTGTGCTTTAACAAATGTCTTTCGCTAGCGAAAGAAATTCTACCTCATTGATTCGAATAAGGCGAGATATATTTTACCTTATTACTTCTAATAAGGCGAAGATACATCAATCACACTTGCAGAACATTTTGAAAGCGTTGAAATGTTTTATAAATATGCTTAAATATTAATAAGATATTTGAATATGCAAAAAAAATATTTCAAGAATACTTCACGGATAAATATTTTGTTTAATAAATATAAAAATACTAAAAAAATTATATATAAAGTTAATAAAATATCTAAACATTAAATATATTATTATAATTAAAGACGATCACATTATTATTTTTTTATTAAAATTTAGTGGTACATCAACAAAAATAATTTATTTTGCACACATAATCTTCTATAAATCCCAAAATTTAACTAATCGTCACTACACTCCTGCAATATATTTCCTATTCTGTTGGTCATTATACGATAAGATCTTCAATGCACCAGTAACTGCTATATCAAATTTCGTTATTAGATTACATGTAATCTGATTCTTCATAACAAATTTTACTCAAGATTACACAAATCAAACAATTTTAGTGATTAAAAAAATAATTATCATTTATAAAAATCTAAACATATCTGCAAAAAAAATTGAACCAAAAAATAATTCATCTTTTCTAAAATTTAGAATATAGCAAAAATATCTAAAAATCCAATCATTTAAATCCATTCTCAAATTATTGAAAATCTTTTAAACATGTATTACCTATAAAACCACTCTCAAATTATTAAAATCATTTAAACATATATTATCACTTACTATCACCCCATGTTAACCAAAATAAATACTCAGGACTGTAGATTAAATAAGTTAAAGAGCCTTGCTCAGACTTCGGAGCTTATACCTGGGAGTCTTAATCCCATTCTTCTCTAATTTTCTGCACTCGTTTGATTGGAAGACAATAATGGAAGAGCTTAGTTTGTGCTCTTTCATATGGTCGTAATGGGTTTGTGGATATTTGACTAACGTAATATATGCATCCAACAGCAACACGAACACAATAGTACATCTCACGAGATTAGAAATGGACACGGCGAATACTGCGCTTCGCCCACCTACTACAATCTAACTGGACCACCATTAACATCATACACAAGGTGAACAGAAACTGAAATCACCAACGGAAGAAATCATAAAAACATAAGCTGGTTTTGATTGGCAAACAATATATAAATGTTCAAAGCCACAACATATGGATGAGCATATCATGTTCAACCAGAACACATTTAAACAAAAATATACCAGTCACGAGAAATTGTTGATTACAAGACGATCGCCGACAAATCACATTGAATCCAACTACCACCAACCTAATCTTTTAATTTTGGCCTACAAAGAGATTTAAAAACCCAAACAAGCTAAAAGATAGACAATTAAGCACGTTCACCCCTGATCCTGCGAGCCAACTGGATATCCTTGGGCATGATTGTAACGCGCTTGGCGTGGATTGCACACAAATTGGTGTCTTCGAAAAGACCCACCAGGTACGCTTCTGCAGCTTCCTGGAGAGCCAGGACAGCATGGCTCTGGAAACGCAAATCAGTCTGCAAAATAATGCCCGAATATTGTTCAATAGATTGAAACTAGGATCATCGTCAAGGAATTGATCAAAAAATTGACCATTATGTACCTTGAAATCCTGGGCAATTTCACGAACAAGCCTCTGGAAAGGCAATTTCCTGATAAGAAGCTCAGTACTCTTCTGGTACTTACGAATTTCACTGTATAGGTGAAACAGAACAGGTCAATAACCATATAATGAAACATCTCAGCTTAGAGAATAATCAAAATGTTAACAAAATATGAAAGAATACCGAAGTGCAACAGTTCCAGGACGGTATCTATGAGGCTTCTTTACACCACCGGTGGTGGGGGCCGATTTTCGGGCAGCCTAAAATACAGCAGAGATAGATCATAAGCTAATGAACAGAACCAAAAAAACTAATATTAGGTCATGAATGTGTCATAATATGTTACCTTGGTGGCAAGTTGCTTCCTAGGAGCCTTTCCTCCAGTTGACTTACGGGCAGTTTGCTTGGTACGGGCCATCTATGCATAGATACGAAATACTTTCAGACGACATACGAAAAATACATTTTTCTCATCGACCAAACACAAACACGAAGATAACAGATCAGAGTTGATACCGAGACTAACAGGAAAAAAAATCAAAATCCCTAATTTCTCAGCAAGAAATTCAAAACCCTAATATAATGAAATCGGAATTAAAAGAGCAAATAATCGAAAGTCAAACTCCTAGGCTATATATGAACCCTAGAAATTCAACCTACTTACAAATTCAAAGTAACCTAACTTACAAATTTACCATGAAAAACAAACGTCAAAGAGAAGAATCGAAAATTACAAAATTTGAAAAAGAAAATAATTGAGAGAGGCAGACAGAAGAACGCACCTTGAGATTTGAGATAAGAACTTTTATTCTCTGCTTTGTTCAAAGGTAAGAAAGGAGCATCGGTTAATAGGTATTTATAGAAGGGTGGGGGGCTTTGTTAATTAATGTAGATCGGACGGATAAGATATAGTATCCGTGTGTTTGTTGGGTACGAAATCCGACGGTCAAAACGGTCACGAGTTGTGTTTTCTGTGAGGAAAATGACGGTTTGGATTATATTATAGGGGGAAGACACGGATCGTGATTGTTTGAGTATTTGATTCTGATTGGTGGTTGAGGAAAACGCATTTTAGGTCTATTGCTTTTTTGTTTCGAAAGTTGCTGGATTCTCTGGATTCACCACATAAGGCACGACTCTAACTAAATAAATTTAATTCTTTACTTCGATAATAACACATAATTATTTGATTGAAAGAATTTTTTAATGATAAATTATTGAATTATAAATACAATAAATATTAATATTAATTTGAAATATAAAATTTTTAAATTTAAATTTAAAAATAATTATTAAATTTGCTTCGAAACTTACCTCGATCATTCTTCTCCTTTTTCTAACGGTAACTATTGTATAAGTGTAAAGCTTGGCTTAATGGTAAGGGTGCGTCCATTTCATCATTAGGACCAAGGTTTGATTAAATCTCTCCCACACTTTATTATGTATTTGGTTTTTCTTCTAATTATATAATGGCGTATATTATCATTTGATTAAAAGAATAAACTGAATAAATTAAATTATAATTATAATTAAATTAGTAGAATATATAAATATTAAGAATTAAATATGAATAATCATTTTTAGTGTGTTTTTAATAATTTCAAGTGATTTGACTCATGTAAAGTTTTTCCCCCTTTTTATAAAATTTTTATATTTTGAAGGATAATTTCAAACAAATAATACTTAAACCCTATTAAAACAATATTATATTATCATTAAAATTAGAATTTCAAGTGATTTGACTCATGTAAAGTTTTTACCCCTTTTTGTAAAATTTTTATATTTTGAAGGATAATTTCGAACCAATAATACTTAAAACACTATTAAAATAACATTATATTATCATTCAAGTTACTAAAAACACACTAAAAATGATTACTAATTCATTTTTATATGGAATTTCAAACAAATAATACTTGAACACTGTTAAAATAATCTTCTCTGTTCGCCATGTCTACGACTGCAACGATAGGATCCGAGAACTTTCAAGGGCCGGTGACATTACAGCTGCCCGCCAACTGTTCGATAATATGCCTTCTCACGATGTTGTCTCATGGAACTCTATCATTACAGCCTACTGGAAGAATGGGTATCTCCAAGAAGCAAAGAAACTCTTTTATTCAAAGCCTAACAGAAATATACTCTCCTGGAACTCCATGATCACAGGTTGTGTTGAAAATGGATGCTTAGATGAAGCCTTCCAGTATTTTAAAGCAATGCCTCAGAGAAATACGGAGTCTTACAATGCCATGATATCGGGGTTTGTGAGATGGGAGAGGATAAAGGATGCTGGAATGCTTTTCCGAGAAATGCCTAGAAAGAATGTGATATCTTATACAGCAATAATTTATGGGTATATGAAGGTTGGGGAATTTGAGAAGGCGAGAGCTTTGTTTGATGAGATGCCGTTTAAGAATGATGTTTCTTGGATGGTGATGATTAGTGGGTATGCTGATAATGGCTGGTTTGATGAAGCCAGGGAGTTGTATCAACGGATGCCGAATAAGAATGTCGTTGCTATGACAGCTATGATAACGGGGTATTTTAACGACGGGCGGGTGGAGGATGCAAGGACCTTGTTTGATGGAATTCGGTGCAAAGACCTAGCGTGTTGGAATGCAATGATAACAGGTAAGGATACTTCCTTTTATTTACTATAGAGTGCCTAATGTTTGTATGTTTTATATTAGTTAGTGAAAAAGTAAAATAAACTTGCACTAGTTGTACTTTGATCTGAATCTGAAGATATAGATTAAAAAGGCTTTATAAACTTCTCATTCAAAAATGTTGTAGTTGACTTAGGGAATATTGTTTTAGATATGAAAAGGATAAAGTTTGTTTCTTGTTTAGAAAGAAGACTTTGTTCCTGGAAATGAAAGGTAGAATCTATCTGATTATACTATGCCTTTCGCATGGTACAGGTTATGCAGAAAACGGGATTGGAGAGGAAGCACTGAAGTTGTATTTGGAAATGGTTAAGCTGGCTATCCGACCGGATATTTTCACCCTTGTTTCTGTTACCACTGCTTTTTCTGGCCTTGCATCTGTTAAGGAAGGCAGACAAATGCACGCGTTTGTTATAAAATATGGGTTTGAATTTGATCTTTCTTTGTGTCATTCCTTGATTATAATGTATAGTAAATGTGGTAGCATTCTTGATGCTGAGCAAGCTTTTAGACAAATGAATGGAACATGCCTTGTTTCACGGAATACAATAATTTCTGCGTTTGCACAGCATGGTCTCTACGAAAAAGCTGTTGATTTCTTCAACCAGATGGAAGTGGTTGGTGTTGAACCAGATGGGGTAACTTTTCTTAGTTTATTATCTGCTTGTGGTCATGCAGGGAAAGTAAATAAAAGTATGGACTTTTTTGACCTAATGGTAAGAAAATATGGGATTCATCCAAGACCTGAGCACTATTCTTGCTTGGTTGATATACTGAGTCGAGCAGGTCAGCTGGAAAAGGCATCCAAGATAATACGAGAGATGCCTTTTGAAGCTGATGGTGGAGTCTGGGTTGCTCTTCTAGGTGCCTGCAGTTTTTATTTGAATATAGAATTAGGGGAATTAGCAGCTAAGAAACTTGGGAATCCACATCATTCAGGTACTTGTGTTGTTTTGTCCAATATATATGCTTGGGCTGGCATGTGGGATGAAGTCACAAGAATGAGGCTACAGAAGAAAGAACAAGGAGTGAAGAAGCAATGTGCATATAGTTGGATGGAGATTGGTAATAAGGTGCACCACCACTTCCTTGGAGGGGATCTCTCGCACCCTGACACGAGTCATTTAGAGATTAAGAGTATCAGTTTACAAATGAAAGCACTGGTTAATATTGCAGAAATTGATTTGTTGTGGAGTGGTTTCGGTTGATATATATCTCAATAGGAGTTGTGATCCCTGATAGAATTTCAGGAGAAAAGGGGAAGCCACAATTGTCGGTGCAGTGTTACCTAATTCGCCTCTCAGTCTCTCACCCCACGAATCTTGTTTGAATTTGTTACTTCTAATTTGAGATTCGTATGCGCGTCAAATCGTTAAGGAACACATGCTGGAACGATCAAATTGGCGTACCGAAAGCCCAGCAAAGCAAAAAACAAAGCAAAGGAAGATAGCGGGAAGATTTTGGTGGAAGGAAGGGTAATGAAAATGGTGTAAGGGCCTATCTGGCCAATCGTCGGTGATGGAATCGACGGATCTCTTTTGATCTGCATTTTGATAAAGAAAAGGAAAATAAGGGGAAGAGGGAAAGTATGTGAAGAGAGAGAGAAATAAAGCTTAGAAGAACGGTCACTAAACCCAAGTGGAGAAGAAAACGGTCACGGAGAAGAACAACAATTGTTTTAGTTTATGTTTTTACATTATTGTACTTTCATTGTTTAAGATGTTTAGTTTAATTATAAATTTAATATTATAACTAAAGAATTATTTGTTGTCGATTACTAATTAGGTGTCCATATAGACTAATATTCTTGACCATTATATGTAAATATCATTTATGAATGTTCAATTTATGTTGATTTAAATCACATTATGTGTGAACATCGTTTAAAATTATACTAATATGATTTAAAATACATAATAATTTTGTCAAAAAATACAATATAATTACTAATTCATTCGTTCATGCATATAAAAATGTATTGAATTTATTTATAATTTCATTTCCTCCTTATACTGATTAATTACGAGTTTAGTCATACATCACCAATGCTGGTTTTACAAAAACAAAGATCAAAGCAAGAGGTTACTATAAACATGCAACATCCTTCCACCCTGTGAATGGTATGATGGCATTGTTCCACCCTGTAATATTACTAATAGGGAATGGAATTTATGGTGAAATTCATGCTAAAACATACTGCGACAGAATTCCACCATAGTCATTTCTGGTGCCTGTGAGTGACTGTTTGCAGGGATGGATCTTTTTGGTAAGGATTAGTAAGCACCATTGTTCATTGATGTTGACCATCTCAGCCGGCTAATCTAATAAAAAAGAAAAAAGATAGCATTGGTTTTAATGGAATATCCAACAACCTCGGATTTTCCCACAAAACACGTTTTTAGTCCACCAATTATGAGTTAGATATGGTCTCCGTAATTTTCTCCAATAGGATTTTTCTCTTGTAGAATAATTTCACCATTTTTAAGCATCATGGGTTGTTAAACTTGCTTGTTTTGAAGCTTTTGTTGTTTTAGTATAAGGAAAATGGAGTCGGTATTATAGCAATCACCAAATCTTTAGCATTGTTTATCAATATAATCCCTTCATTGATTTTATCCCCCAAGAAAGGAGCTTTTTCCCCTCCAACATAATCATTCCCATAGAACATTACCATCTCAATCAAAGGTGTATGTCTGAAAATTTTGTTTCTGTTGTTCAAGTTTTTTCAATGATCATCTATGTCTGAAACTTTTTTTGTTTGTTTTTGTTTTTAATGATCAGAGAAAGAAATGGAGGGGCCATGCTTTGCCAATAAAGAGGCTGAGGAGTGCTGTACTACAATGGTGTCCGGAAAAGTTGCAGACATTCATACAGAACTGAATAACAAGGAGAGGTACATTGAATCCTTGAAAACCGAACTTGGAAAAGCTAAGGAATTGGAGGCGGTTTTGGCTGAGAAAGAAGCTTCATTTCGTAAATTGAAAAAGGAGTTGATTCAGTTGCAATCCTTCGAATCTGAAGCAATAGATTTGTTGTCTCAAGGGAAGAAGAGAATCCATGAATTGGAGGAAGAAATCGAGAAGAGGAAAGAATCCGAGAAGAAGATATACGATTCCTTCGTTGCTCAATCAGAAGAGTATAAGCAAACCCAGATTTCCCTCGAGAAATCCAAGCAAGAAATCAAGTTCCTCCTGGAAAACCTGGAGAAATCCGAAGGTTCATCCGAGGTTGCATCACAGAGTTCCATGGGGGATGACCATTTGGAGAGACTCGAATCCGAGCTTCAATTAACAAAAGATAACTTACGTTGTGCATCGGAGAAAGAGAGAGTTTGTTCATTGAAGGCAAAGAGGTTAGCTGAGGAAGTAGACTCGTTAAAGAGTCAACTCAAATCCACCATTGACGCCGAAGAAAACAACAAAAAGGCCATGGATGATTTAGCCATGGCGTTGAAGGAAGTGAATGCCGAAGCGAAGCAAACCAACGAGAAACTCCTTTTAACAAACCTCGAGCTCGAGAAAACAAAAGGGGAAGTCCAAAACTTGAAGCTTCAGCTGAGGAGCATGGAGGAAAAGTACATCGAATCAAAGAAAGAAACCGAGGTATTCAAAAACATTTCGGAGAGATTACGGGTTGAAGCCGAAGAAACCCAGTTGGCATGGAGTGAAAAAGAGAAAGGATTCGTCGAATGCATCAAAAAGGTTGAAGATGAAAGGAATGCAGCACAAGAAGAGAGCAAAGCATTGCTTGAATCACTCAGAGAAGCTGAAAACATGAACATAAAGGCCAGGGAAGAGAATCAGAAACTGAGGGATATAATGAAACAGGCCATAAATGAAGCAAATGTAGCCAAAGAAGCAGCCACCATTGCCAAGGAAGAGAATTCCCAGCTCAAAGACACCGTTGCCAAGAAAGACGAAGCTTTGAGTATCCTATCGCAGGAGAACGAAAACCTTAAGATCAACGAAGCAACAACAGTCGACAACATCAGGGATTTAAAGCTGTTGTTGTGTGATGCAAACAGTGAAGCTGATGATCAAGAGCGAGGTAAGAAACAAAAAGCAGCACCTTTTCCAGCAGATAAGGATCATAAAGATGATAAAGAACAACAGGGAAAGAAACCAAAACATAATAGATCAAAAAGCGCTTGTTTGAACTTATCATTCCCGAATTACAAAAACAAGGATGCAGATGATGATTCAAAGCTCCCAAACAGAGGAAGTTATGTTTATGGAGATTCTGACTCGGATTTCTCTGATGATCCACTTAAAGGCTCCATTTTTTATACTACGGTTAAATCCCCAAAGACTCCTTCAACATGGAGCTCAACCCATCAAAGGAAAAAGTCTTCTTTGACAGATGATGAAGCGATGAATGGTGAGGAGTTTGAGCACATGGATACAAGCAATTTCGATGAAGAAATTGATAGGAGCTCTAGGAAGAAGAAAGCTTTGTTGAGAAGGTTTGGTGATCTTATAAAGAGAAAAAGTTTCAAAAAACTAGAACAAGGTTCAGATTAAAATGCTGTTGTATACGAATGTGATTTTCGGTTTGTTTGTACACTTGATTGTGTGGTTTCTTTTTTTGAAAAAGTATTTCCTGTATGCTATATGTTTCAATAAATGAGAGTTTCCGTTTCTGAAGTTTGATCATTGCAAACCATTCATGGAGCTACAGCTTTCAAGCAACAACAAAACATGCACATCAATAAAATGCTCATTATTGGTAAACATCAAAATTAGTCATTATAAATATTATAATCAATGTTTTCAAAACTTTCCTTGTCATTGCACGCACCAAACAACCTTACTAATTAAAGGGATAGTTATTATTTTTAGAGGTCTCAGGTTCGAACATGACGTTTGCAGAGGTGTATGAACGTTTATTGTTAAATGATTGAGAGTATTTCGAACAAATATTACCTTATAACAAAGAGAAAGATCGAAATAGATCTCGAATGATATAGATGAAATGATAGGTAGTGACATATAATAATATTTTGAGAACTTTCTTTATCACTAAATCATGTTAAAATTCATAAACATGTTTAATGTTGTAAAAAACTATATTTTATTCTTTTTATTCAAATAAATAATTCATTTTTCAAAAATTAAATATAAAATTTATAATTTTATTCCTACAAAATATAAGTATTATTTATTAATTTTATGTTTAAAATATAAAAATTAAATAATATAATTTATTGTATCATTAAAACTTTTAATTAAGACCAAATTGATAGAATGTATAAGTATTGACGATTAAATGTATAATTATATTAATTTTATTAATTATCACGTTAACACTTCTGTTAAATATGTTAACTAGGGGTGTTCAAAATAATCCGTCACCGTTAATCGTAACCATTAACTGATGTAACTGCAACATTTTATAGGTTAATTAACCGAATCATTAAGGTTTAACGGTTTTAGTTAATCGAATCGCTAAAAAATATCGGTTAACAATTACGATTAATGATTTTTGATAAACGGTTAACCATCGGTTAACCATTAATAAATTATAATTAATTATATTTTTTAGATAATAAAATTAGAAATAAAATCAAAATGATCCCTCTTATCTTTTAGTTATCATGTTTATCTTATATAGGAGCACATTAAATCAAACATATATGAAAGAAATACATAATTTTAAAATATGAAATATAAATATACTCGTAAGATTTCAAAATGTAAAAAAATGTATATACCTCATAATATATATATTTCTATAAAATAAAATACATTTACACATAAATAAGATTTTTATAAATATATATGTTTCTATCGTCGTAAATTTTATGAAATTTTAAAAATTTTAAGTTGTGTTATGTTTGAAAAATATTTTAATAGGTTAACCATACGTTACCCTATAACCAAAACGTTAATAACTGTTAACTGTTAGTGCTAAACTATTTCTTAATAGTTAGATTATAGTTAACAAAATTTAATAACCGTTATAGCGGTTAATCGACCGTTTAAATTTAATGGTACGATTAGACGACCATGAATACCCCTAATGTTAACAACAAGCGGCTTGATTGAATACAATTAAATAGTTAGATTATCTGATTGATAAAATTGGAAGATCAATGATTAAACTGAAAGGATACAATAGTTAAGTGGTCATTAATTGAATTTATCCTATAAATAACCTTTAGTAAAAGTCATTGAGTGGGTCCAAACAAATCCATTAAACAAGATAACCCAAAGCCCAAACTATAAAATCTAGACCCATCAAAATTTCCACGTGTACGAATCTAATTTATATCAGATAAAAGTTATGGTCTTCCCTAATAACACTGTATTATTCCCTTCCTATATATTGACATCAACTTTAGCAGAAACCCTAACTTTAGAAGGCAGCTAGCAAGAGAAGAGTGGAGGCATTTCTCTCTCAGAGCTGTAACCAGGAAGAACCATCAAACCAAAATGAAGGTTTTTTTTTCATAAGAAAACCATAAATAAATATTAATCCTTTTTGGGTTTTGTTTATTCTTTTTCATTTGTGTTGATTCTTTTTTGTTGTTTTTTGTATCAGTTCAACATTGCAAATCCAACTACTGGTTGCCAGAAAAAGCTGGAAATTGATGATGACCAGAAACTGTATTTTCCTTCCTTTCTATCTCTATTTTTTAAACAAATTGTTGAGCTTAAATTTACTTAGTTGATTCAAGTTCAATATTAGTATCAAATTCAGTTCTTGTTATCTTAACCATGAAAGTAGCCTAGGAAAAAAACCTGTCTTTTTCCCCTTCACAGAGCCAATCTATGTTGGGTTTTTTTTGTATTTATGTTATTTAGGTGGTATTAGATCTTGCAGCGTATATACAGAATGTGAAAAGTATATTAGGCTTGAAGCAAATTAAAAATGTATATATTATTTGCTGATGAAATTTGGGTATTGGTTATTCTAAGGTTTGATTTTATGCAACCATGAAAAATGAAATTTAAAATTTTAATGATGATCTCTTTTGTCTATAACTTTGATTTTGAGTTGTAGATTTAGGCCTTTTTCAAACTCAAACAATGTTGACTCTGTTTTATATTGTTGATTCCTCATAGATAGTCATTTATGTGGTTTGTGAAATGCAAATTTTGTTTATATTTCCTAAAGCATGCAAAAAATAAAATAAAATCAGCTAATGAATCTGAATCATAAATCTTTAAACATAAACTTATTATGTATTTGGTTCTTAAATCTCTTTCCCCCCCATCTAGACATGAAGTTCTGACTTGTAATATAGTATTATGGTGGATTAACTTGCTAGATATAGTTAACTTGTATTTAATGAGGGTAAAATAACATAGGCAGCAAGACCTTATAAGATGATAGCTCAATTTGTGTGCTGCGATTGTGATGGTAGTTGCAAGCGTAAATGTATGTTCTTCTTGCAATTCAAGTTGTAACTGTTTATTAAGAAAATGCTCTCATCTTGACATCTGAAATTGCAGTCGAGCCTTTTTTGATAAGAGGATCTCGCAGGAAGTCAGTGGGGATGCGCTGGGTGAGGTACGTTTCCAAGTTACTTCTAACTTTTTCCTTCTCTGCCTCAAATTTCTGCTGCTGCGTGTAGGCTTCGTAACTGTGAATTGCTTGCTACTTAAAATATCATTTTACAGGAATTTAAGGGCTATGTATTCAAGATCATGGGAGGCTGTGACAAGCAAGGTTTTCCAATGAAGCAGGGTGTTCTCACTCCTGGCCGTGTTCGCCTTTTGCTCCACAGAGGTCTGTTGACTGCTAAACTTCTTTCCTTTTTGTTTATTTGTAGAAATCTTTCTTGTATGGAGTTTTGGTTTATTGAATGTGTTTTTCTAATTTCTTTTGAATAGGTACCCCCTGCTTCCGTGGGTATGGTAGGAGGAATGGAGAGCGTAGGAGAAAGTCCGTTCGGGGATGCATTGTTAGTCAGGACCTTTCAGTTCTGAACTTGGTTATTGTGAAGAAGGGTGAAAACGATCTTCCTGGATTGACCGACACTGAGAAGCCAAGAATGAGGGGTCCGAAGAGAGCTTCAAAAATCAGGAAGTTGTTCAACCTATCCAAGGAGGATGATGTTCGGAAGTATGTTAATACTTATCGCCGAACCTTTACAACCAAAACTGGTGAGTAAAAAGTGATTGTTTGAGCATAAATTTTTCCGGAGGAGTTTTTCATTTGAATATATTGTTTGACGGAAGCTGCCCGTGAACTGGATATAACAATCACTTTCTTGGAATGCAGGTAAGAAAGTCAGCAAGGCCCCCAAAATCCAGAGGTTGGTGACTCCTTTGACCTTGCAGAGGAAGCGTGCCAGAATTGCAGAGAAGAAGAAGAGAGTTGCAAAGGCCAAGGCGGAAGCTGCTGAGTACCAGAAACTCCTTGCCCAGAGGTTGAAGGAGCAGCGTGAGCGCAGGAGTGAGAGCTTGGCCAAGAAGAGATCCAGGCTCTCTGCTGCATCGAAGCCTTCCATCGCAGCTTAACTGTGTGTCACAAAGTTTGGCATTTTGGTCAGTAGTTAAATGCGGATTCTAAAATAGTATTATATGTTGTGATTTTGATTATTCAATTTCCAAGTGTAACTTTGGGGGGGGGGGGTGAACAATATGCTTTGGAGTTTTAGTGACTATGTTTTGGGTCTTTACCTATTATTCTGGTTACGCTTGCATCGTGATACTTGTCGAATGCCACCTCTTTACAGTTTGCGCTGATTCCAACCATTTAACGCCCTCACAATTCTGTGGATATTTGTCGAATGCCAGTTAGGTCACAGCAGCTAGAAGTATTAAAATCCTTCAATTTCTTGCTACTCATTTCGGGTCGGGTTTCTAATTCATATATTTGAGTCGGGTGAAATTTTATTTTGGTCGGGTCGGGTTTTTAAGTGTGATATTCGGGTCGAGTTTGGGTTTAGGGTTAAAAATAATTGACCCAAAAATATATATAATTTTATTTTTTATAGTTAGGAATAATTACAATAATACCCTCTATATATAATTTTTTTCAATTAAGTCATTGTTTTTATTAAATAAAAATAATTTTTTTATTATTTCGGGTCGAGTCGGGTCAGATTTCTAATTCATATATTTTGGTCGGGTCGGGTGAAATTTTATTTTTTTCGAGTCGGGTCGAGTTTTTTAAGTGTGATATTCGGGTCGGGTCGAGTCGGGTTCGGGTTTAGGGTGAAAAAAATCGGACCCGACCCGAAAAAAATATATAATTTTACTTTATATATTTATGAATAATTATAATAATACCTCTCTATATATAATTTTTTTCAATTAAGTCAATATTTTTATTGAATAAAAATAATTTTATTATTATTTCGTGTCGGGTCGGGTTTCTAATTCATATATTGAATAAAAATAGTTTTTGGTATATTTTTTGGTAACTAATTAACATACTCCGATTGGAATGTATCGAAATATTACTTTATCTTTTGGTAATTTATTAACATATTTTGATTGCGATGATTTTAACCTATGATGTTTATTAGCATGATTTTTATAATTTATTAAAATGAATAATCAATCAATAAAATGAAAATTTAATATTTTTAAATTTTTTATAATATATTACTACATGTAAGTTATAAAACAAACTAAAATAAAGCAAAAAAACAAGAAGGACAATTATGTCATTTTACATTACTGAAATCAAATTCATCTGACATGTCTGCGAACCAAACAGAATATGGAATTAGATTTCAATTCCATTTCCTGCCAACCAAACAGAATATAGAATTGAATTCCAATTCCTGACAGATTTCAATTCCTTCACAAATTTTAATTCTCTCATAAACATTCCAGCGGACCAAACGCCACTTAATAGATTTGGGGTGGAGTTTTATTGGAAGAGTTGGCGAATTTGATGAGATAATACGGTGAGAACTGAAAGAAAAATAGCGCGAATGAAATGTTGGACAAATTATTTTCTCAATAGGTGAAATGAATATGTTTGGAGAAATTATTTTTTCAAAATATGAAATGAATAGTTGATAGGGAAAGATAGGGAAAGATGCCCGGATCACTTAGGGTGCGTTTAGTTCACGGAATGTAAGATTACCAGTGAGAATAAAAGATTACCAGGGAATATGATTACTGTGAATGTTACATTACTGTGTTTGGTTGGTTTGGCAGGAATGTAAGATTACAGTGTTTGGTTGAAGGAATAAAAGATTATTGGAATGCATATTTTATCAAATTGTCTTTGTTCTATATTTTTTAACAAGTGAAATTCTAAATATTTAAATAAAAATTATTTATATAAAAATTTTATCTGTTGATAATATATTACTTGAGTATTTAAATATATCATGTATTATTTTTATTTTAATTAATATTAAATTTTATATAATTTATGTAAAAATATATTAAAATTTTACATCAACATTTAACTATATGTGTCGGTCTGTTTAATTCGTAGTATTCAAAAGACAGGCTTTATTTTTGGAAGTCTGTCAAAAGATGATATATTGCTACTGTTGAAGAAATTATCTTTCAAATGAAGTACTTTCAAATTCGTCAATCTTAGTTATGACACATTATTACCTAGTACAGTTGTTTAAATTTATTGTTTCACGTTACATCTAATTATAAGCCAGTATTAAACAAAAATATTTCATATTTGAAAATTTATGGATCAATTAAATTTTTATTTGAAAAAAATACAATTAATTAATCATTTTAATTGTTATTATATAACCTAAAGGCCCTGTTTGATTGGTTAAAAATATTATTTTACTTAAAAATTATTTAGAGCTAATAATTTACCTTTTCTTTCTCAAGTTGTGAATTATCCTTATTATATAACCTAAAATACTTACTTTGATTGGTATGATTGCTATTATAATAATAATAAAAACATATTTATAAACATAATTACTAAAAATAATTGTGCTCCAGTAATCTCTTTCTCAACAATAAACTAAGGACTAATCAGAACTAATTTATTATCTTTGACAACAATCAAATTAAATCACCAATATAATAAGTGACAAAACTTATTATTTCACAATGAATCATGTTAAAGAACTAAAAGGACCATTCAAAGAACTGAAATAGGCACTCCAAACAGTCATACTGGTAAGAGTTGCAAGTCTGGCATCTGTGATTTGACGAGAATCCAGGTTGAGTGATTTCAGAGACGAGAGTCCAGACAATTTTCTTAAACCACCATCTGTAACTCCAGTAAATAAAAGGTTTATGCTCTCCAGATTAACCAAACCTACAAGTAAACCAAAAGGAATAGGATGATCATATATAAGAATCAATTGTTTGAGAAGATATCAGTTTTATATGCTTATTCAATTATTAAAGATCCTCAGATTACTAAATGAACAATGCTGTTATGCGGACTCATATGAGAATATCAGATCCAGGTATATGTCTAACATAGGTGCCTTTAATTGTTTTAAAAAAATTTCCATGTAGAATCATCTGAGTTTTGAGAAGGCTTCCAAAGAAGGATAGCAAATCAGGGTAGCGATAACAGAGAATCAAATCAAGAAAATAATTATATGCAACAAAAGAGTTAAAGAAGCACTTTACCACCAAAACTAGAAACAAAAAGTAACAGCTACTGCAAAATATAGAGAATGTCATACTATGAGAAAGGAGGATATCTAACCAGAAAGATAGTGAAGGCCATTGCTTCCAACTTTAGTATCAGACAACTCCAAACATTTCAATCGTTGAAGACCTAAATAAATGAAAGCGGTTGTTTTTAGCCGTTGTCGTCTATTTTTTTATAAGATAGCCGAGAATTATTATGAGCTGAGGTAATAGGATGGTTTAATGAAGATGCCAATCCTCCCACAGCAGAAGAAAAATAACGTAGGTAGAAACATTTAAATTAAATTAATTATTTCTATTTCAAAATGAACAAATATATAAACAAAGAAAGATGGTAGCAGTTAGACCAACAACCTGATAAATGAACCAGCCCATCATCACCAATTCTACATGAATCCAAGTTCAAGCTCTCTAAATTTGTCAAACCTGGATCTTAGCAAAAAAAATCAAATTATGGATGGCAACCACCACTAAAATCCTGGAACAAATTTCACAAAGAAAACCATATCACGAGATCCTATTATATGTTTTGCAAAGAATAATCACTCATTATTTAGATAAATAATTTTTATTCTATTATATCCACTTCATTATCAGTCCTCCAAAATAAGGAACACACATATATGAAGGAAAGATATTATATAGATCAATATTCTACCAAACAACACAAGGGAAGAGGAAGAACACCTTTCAGATGTATCAAACTCGAATCACTGATGTCATTGAAACCCAAGTTTAATATCTTCAGATTACCTAGCTCTGTCAAAACAAAAAAATGCAATAAGCCAAACGTCATCTAAGAATTTTTACATATGCGTAATGGGGAAAGTATGGAACCAACTTACTAGAAAACCTCTCACATCCATCATCAAAGAAATTGCACCTGCTAAGATTCAAATATAACAGAGATGCAAGAACTGTGCAAAGTAAAAAGGCCAAGTCAATATCATGTTTAATGTAGAAGACAAAGTAATCAAAAGAAGACGCAAGTAGAGTTTCTAAGGTCAATCAATCATTTTGAATATTTTCTCAGAATGACATGATGTATGTTGAAAGAAGGAAGACCATCAGGAGATTACAAAAACTAGTTTCTAAATGAAAATGCACAAGTTTCTGTCATCAGCAGGAAAATATTAAAATTGGAAAAGAAAAGCACAAAGATGATTTAATTGAAACATCAACTTTTAATGCAAAAGCAAAATTGCAGTCAGCAGCTCCTGATGCAATCAGTTTAAGAGGAAAACGATTACAATATGCATGCCAAGAATATATACCAGAAAGAGAATCCAGGCATGAAGCAGTAACCGGGCAGCCCTCCAAGTTCAAAATAGAAAGCTTTTGCAGGCCTGAAACAGATTTGAAAGTATAAAGAATTTCAAGGAATAGAAGTTTAATAATCAGTAACAACCAATTCCATAATTCTTATAACTTGACAATAAGTAGAAAATGGTCGAGTGTTAACTATTAAATTGAACAGGCATATAATATACACAGGTTAATGACACCACCACCAAAATTATGGTGAAGAACATTGAAAGTATAAAATGTTAGCACAAATACAATTGTCATAGAACAAAATTTCAATGTATCACATATTACATAAAAATAAACAAGATTAAATATAAAATAAATCAATGATTCCCAAAGTAATAATAGGAAGTTTTTTTAAGAAAAAAAGGAAAGACGTTTATTCTGTATCATTCAACCTACATACTTATAAGGTTTAAAAATTTTGACTAAGGGGTCAAGGTTTGTTGGCACGATGTATATTCTTAGTTGAATGATAATTTCACCATAACATTCCACACTATGCAGTACAATAATAAAATCCTCTCGCAGGCACAATAATCCAACAACAACAAACTAGTAGTCTTAGATGAAAAATTCTTTTTCATACTAAGTCATGATAGCAACTTATTTATTTTTTATGGAAATGATAACAAGTGAGATAGAAAGTACTGGCAAGGTACCTTTTAAACAGGTGATGCCGAAATCTGTGACCTTACTACAGGATATCTGTAAGCTTTTCAAGTTTGTAAGCCCTAAAACATGACAAGAGAAATCTTATGCGTTAGCACAAAAAGGAAAAGCAAAAATAGAGGTGAAGGACAATCAAAAGAGAGAAAATACTTTCAAAAAGTGTATAATTCTTTGAGTGCCTATTGAAAGTTGAAATGCAATGATCTTATCAAATAAAGATGTGCCTTAATAAATATGTACAAGTCTGAACAGTTGGATCCTATTAAAAAGGTAACAGAGTTGGAATTGTTGGGAAACATATATAGCCAATTAGAGGTCAAGACTCAAGAGAACGGAAGAATTCTATTGCCAGAGATGGCATCAGTTTCATAAACGAAGAAGAAAAAGTTCACATCTATGAAAACATACCTGGTTTTTCAATGAAAGATGGATAACTCCTTAGATTTTGAATGGGTTTAACTGCTGGAACTCAAGTGAGCTCAAATCTGGGTGAATTGAAAAATAGTGCAACTCAATTAGTCCCACGAACCTATAAAAATTAGAAAAATAATGGGCAGATCAGTGTAGTAGTACAGAAAATACAGAAACATGAGTGAAAAACCCATAAAAATTGAACAATGAAACAAATTGAAATATCAACGCCAATAATCAAATAAAAATGTTGAAAATATCAACGCCAGAAGCAAATACCTAAAAGGGAGAGGGAGACTAATACGCTAGAAGAAAATCTGAACGCCAAATCAAAGAAGAAACATAATTTTTTTCCAGCCAGAATCAAGCGGGGAGAAGGGTATTTTAGACATGAGAACCGGGAATAAGCAAATACCTAAGAGAGACTGGGGATTGATATTCCCGGGAAAACGGGGAAAAAATACCACTGTTGGTATTTCTTCTTTACTTGCACTTGGGAATGAAGCTCATCCAAACATGGGTATCATTACCCGGAAAAAAATATACCTCCCAGGAAAGAAATATGACGTGAACCAAACGGAGCCTTAATGTCTTCCTTGAACTGTATGGCGTCTTACTTAAATTGTTTGTAGTGTGAATGTTCGGTAATCCGAGCGTCTTTCTTCATATGTTCATTCCACCTTGGTTTAGAAAATAATTTTTCTTACACCTCATATCAATCATATTTTTTATCATATTATCTAATAAAATTGTTAAGAAAAAACAGGAATTTGGATTATGAGAAAAGTAAATATATAAGCTAAGGAACTATAAATTTCTAAATTTTGGAGGCTGGTTTCATACATGACAGGACTAAAATCTAAATCTTATAAAATTAGCATGAATTAAAAGACATTAGTGATTAAGAGGATGATTGTTATCTTTAAAAGTTTTACGTTCGAGCATGCCGTTTTGTAAAATTGACATGAACCAAGGGATCTTAGTGATTAAGAGATGATTGTTATCTCTAGAGATATCGAGTTCGAGCACATCTTATTAAGAGTGTTTAAACGTTTATTGTTAAATGATTTAGAATATTTCTAATAAGCATATAATATAATCATCTTAAACTAGTTAAAAAAAATCCCGCAAGACTGCCTTTTGCCGTTTCCGGCAGTTACAGAATACGCTATGTTGTGAAATAAACAAGCTGAAAGCCCATGTTATTGTAACAAAATAACTGAGAACAAAAACTCAAAAGAAGTGCATAACTATAAACAATTCCCATCCTCAATCTCTTCTCTCAAAACCTCGGCGGCAGCCACCATCTTAAAGGAGAAGAAGAAGCATAGACAATGGGATGTCGAAGAGGATCCCGTAATCAAAGGACATGTATTAAACAAAACAGAGAAAATGTTTGGAAACGTCCAAAAACAGACTATAAACAACCCCAACTCCAATAAACCACCTTGGCAGCCTTTTGCCACTCAAAATCCTTCCTTTGATGAATATTACAAAGTAAATTATATTTTTTTGCATGCTTTTCTTATTTCATCTATATTTGAAACATGCAAACCTTGTATGTAAGTGCTTTTTTGGCAGGAACAAGTTGTTGTTTCTCCTGAATCGATTAATATATACACAACTGTAGAAATGTATAAACGACGATTTTCAAAATTACACCAATGCCTCAATCATAATTTACATGATCATTTAACACACGACTTACCTCTCAAATGTTTGGTTTTTCCTTTCTGCATGCGAGAAAAATTCGATTGCCAAGCAAGGTTATAAGGGTACCAAGCCAACGGTTTATAGGCTCCAAATCATACCCTTCAATAGCCTGCAGAAAAGAGTGAGCAACAGAAAAAAGACGGTTACTTACAAGTTATAACACCATTAGACTAAGATATTCTAAACACAAAGCAAACTCAGCCACGTGCTTCAGCTTGAAGAGATTTCATGAAGTCATTCTCTAACAGTGAACGAATGTCCTGAAAAAATTGGCTACTGCAAAAGATTAATAAAGATATAACTAAGAAAAGAAATTATTTTTACAAAACCAAAACTCCCAAAACTTTCAAAAGTAAAAAAAAACGTGAAATTGATTCTGAAAACAGCAGGTAATGGCTTTCTAAGCACTTTCATGAAAGCATCCCATTCATCAGGACTAATCATACCACTTTATTTAAAGACTAAATGCTTATCTTATCCTGTTTGTATTTGCTGTATTTATCTGATGAGTGCATTCTTATTTTATGTCGATCCATGTTTAGGGTCAATGTACTGTAGCTTCAAGTGGAGGACCCGTGTGATGGATTTGCAACACTTCAATGTTCTCTGCATTTTACTTGCATAACCAATTATGTGATATAATGGCCTAGTATGCTTTTAAATGGTTTCCATGTTCATCTTATGCGTATCTTATTATCATTTAGCCATTTTTTGATTCATGATTTGGTTAAATAACTTTCAGGTTTCCTGAGTTTTTTAAACTTGAAACTGGGAACATCAGTAGACAGGAGGCTGTGAGCATAGTTAATATTTCCAGCTATTCCTTTATGCAGTGTGCGCAGTGCCTGATTCAGAAACAACAAGAGAGTTGGAGCAGAGCATTACCCAACTTCTCTTTGACCGTGTATTATGTGGAGAGCCCTGCAGTGGGGATGGCACTCTTCGCAAGGCTCCTGATATCTGGCGTAAATGGTCTGTGTTCTCTTGCTCTTCCCTTCTATTCTTTCCATCCCTTCGTCTGTTAAAATCCATTTCATAAGATCTTATTTATGTGCATTTGTACAGGAATGGAGGCATGACCAATGGACTTCACTGATTACAGATTCAGATTGCCATGCGATGTATAAATTATAGAGGACCTTTTGATTTGAAAATAGTGGATGTTCTGCTATCTAATTTGTTGCATTATGGCAGGTCTATCTCTGTTGAAAGTTGGTGAAGAATGGTCTACTCAACCTGCTCTATGAATTGGTTGCTGAGGTAATTTCTGTTACCGAGAGACAACTACGAACTAATACCAATAATATGATACTTGCATGAATACGTTGCCTTTCAACGTTCCATTTTCTTCCTTTCATTTGATGTCCATGTTCTCCATTTCCACGATGTTTTCCATTTCCATCAGGTACGTGATAAGGGAGTCTGGTTAGAATCATACAAGGATGCTCGCAAGTTGCCAAGAAATGGGATGGTTCCTAGCATGTTCTCTTCTGGCAAAAACCGTACTGATCTAACTAACAAGAAGAGTCGGAATGGTGAAAATGTATATATAGAAGATGTAGTTCAGCTTGATGATCCCATTTCTTCTACCGATGATTCGGAGTAAAAAGTTTCTGATCTCCCACTAGAACGCTGCATGAGGATAGTGCCTCGTGATCAGAATACAGGAGCCATTTGCTGGTAAATCAAAACTATCCTGTCCGTTTTATAATTTTGAATTGTTTACAGTGTGGCATGTGGTTTATATTTCATTTCTAAGACGCTTCATCTATACCTATATTCATATGTTCTATTTGCTGCTGATTCGATTGTGAAACCTATTGATTTTAATTCCCTAGCCCTACTCTCAGTCTTTCGTTTTGCTTGCCTCATCGAGCATTTACAAATTGGTTTCATAATGCTTGTTGCAGCAATTCAGGACAAGTCTGGTAGTTCACAAAGGAAACTATCAACTAGAAATGAACTGCATGAAAATTTCTCAGACCAAGTTACTGAAGAAATACATGGATTACAAGTTGGTTCCGCGGATCTGATAGATGAAAATATCTTGGAAGCCGAAAATATCTCAGAAATAGCTTTTCAGGCTGATGAAAGGATCTCTGATGTTGATGAAAAGATGTCAGATGTGGCTTTAGAGGTGTATTTGATTGTAAACATAGGAGCGCCAATCATTGAGAGAAGGTTCATTGGCTCCTTGCTCATTAGGATATCATCAGAAGGGTTGCCTGTGATTCTCCCTTACATTACCAAACAAATACTATACGCTTCCCCAGAAGGTTTCGAGCACCTTTTGCAATATAAATCAATCAAACTTGCAGACTTCGTCGAGGCCGACCTTGGTCAAAAGGCAGTGAACCTGATGTTGGGCTGCTGCGTGATTGTTTTGAGAGAAGGTGAGTAACTTCTTTTGATCTTGCCATTCCTGCCAAAGCCATTAGTTTCTATGATTCCCCTACTAATCTTTTCTTATCAGCTAGCAAATCTTTGTCGGATGCATTGATAGTAGCCATTGGCTGCTGGAAGGGTAAGGCGAGCTTCAGTGTGATGGTTACAGCAATCGACTGTTAGGAACTGCTGGAAAGGCTTGTGGTACGCAGGGAGACTGAAAATAATGGAACGTTGGCACAAGTAAACCACAATGAGCCAGGTGATAAACAAGAGATGAGCGGTGAAAATAGAACCTCACTGGAGGAACACAATGTTGAAGCGAAGAAAATGCAGGATATCAGGAACACCAAACATTGAAGGCCGGACCTATTGTCACCATATGTATAATGTTATCTAACTTGTGCAATTTTGGCAAGCCATTTGCCTATTTCAACTCTATGATGTTATTAGTGGGGATTCTTGATGTTATATGAAAACAAATGATGAGAACTAAATTGAAGCTAAAATTCAAGATAAATGGATAAATATGTAACTACATTGAAGCAATCAGCAACTCAACTGTAAAATTTTGGTTTCATATAAATCCCCAACCCAAAACATGCAAGTAATCAGCTTCCCTTGCAAGCAGAACTATATATCAATGTAAATCCCCATCCCTTACAAACATATATTCCTGTAACTATGATCTTCCCTGCTGGTGATGCAGGATTGCCGTTCCCCTGATTCTCACCGGCAACTAGTCTCTTATTGATCTTGGTAAGCACAATGAAGAACGCGGTTTCAACCTTTTTTTTTTTTGCTGCAAGAGCTGAGCGGAGGTCTACAAGGAAAATAATCCCTTCCTTTTGAGCAAATTCTGTGGCATCCTCTGATTGAACTTCCCGCCGCTTTTCAAGGTCACTTTTGCTCCATATAAAAAAGAATAGCAATGTTCTTGTCAGCTTGGCCATGCAACTCTTCCAGCCAGATTTGGATGTGAACAAAGGTCTGACGTTTCGTAATATCATAAACCAGCATTGCTCCAAGAGCAACCCTGTAGTATATACACTTAAGTTGTAACAGTTCTTTATCTGTTCAATATAACATAAGAAAAGAAGCAATCACTAACTGTTATTGGCATACATCACTTCATTCTTTAGGTGAGATTATTAGCATGTAGGCTCATTACTGTACTGTTTGTACTGTGTTTCCACAGTATTAGTTTTAACTGTTTTCTGATTATTTTTTTATTTGCTTCTTATGCAACACTTGATCACATTTAACTTTCGAGTTCAGCACAAATTAAACGACTTTAGTAGTTAATAGAAGGAAGACACAAGCAATTGATACTATTCGAAAGAAAGGATGGATGACTGATTTCAAATGGATTCCACGAGATACACACTGGCCAGCCGATACTCTAGCGAAACTCTTCTCGGACTTTTACGATGACAATTTTACATGATCCCCCAGACGAAGTGCTGCCGCATCTTGATAGGGACAAATATGGGTCCCAGCCTTTGTACGTCTAATTTTCATTAGGCTTTCTTCAATATGATTCAAAAAAGAATAAAAGAAAACGTAAACTATAAAGTCCATTAGGATTAAAGGAGGCCCAACCCAAGAAATCTTAGAAGCATGAAGCGACATCGTTTAAATACCACGGAAAGGCCTAATACTCTTGCAAATTGCAAGCATAAATAACTGTGGGAGAAGGGTCTCCTTTGATCTTCCCTCATCGGACGGCTATGAAAGCATGATCTAATCGAAGTTATCCAGTGGAGAACGTACTATTAGACTTGGGAGACTCTTTCTAGAAGAATCAACGAACACAGAGAGAGAGAGAGAGAGAGATTCAAAAAATGGATGAAGAGGAGCATGAGGTATATGGAGGTGAAATCCCCGACGTTGGAGAGATGGAGGGCGAATTGGACCCTCAAATCGCCGACATCGACATTTCCGCCGCCGATGAAAACGCTGTCAAGGTAATTATTTTGAAAACAAATTTTTAACCCCAACCGAAGACTCCTTTTTTGTTACTATAGTTGTTTGATTGTTGCAGGAATTGGATGAAATGAAGAAACGATTGAAGGAGATGGAAGATGAAGCGGCGGCTCTCCGTGAAATGCAGGCCAAGGTCGAGAAGGAAATGGGTGCTGTTCAAGGTTTTTAGCATTTTTTCCTTTTTCGTTTTTTTATTTGGCGACATTTATATGATCTGAATTTTAGTCTAAAATTATGATGTTAGGGCTTAAGTTTTTGGTTCTCTGGTTTTTTATTATTTAATTTGATAAACCTATCAACTCTGAAACTTCAAAGTTAATTTGTAAATGGATTTCGAATATTTTTTCATTTTTAAAAAAAAGTGATTCTATTGTATTAGTAGTTTATAGATTTTACTGGAGAATTCTTACAGGGAGTTATATCCTGGATGTTTGTTAATTCTATTTATATTTTCACGGTGCTGATCTGTGTTTTATATTTTTTAACCACATTTTTAGTCTCAACATAAGCATTTGTTCTAAAATAAAGATCACTCTTGATCACAGATCCTGCTAGTGCATCAGCTAATCAGGCGAACAAAGAGGAAACAGATTCACGTTCTGTTTTTGTTGGCAATGTGAGATAAATAATGTCTTTCTTTGTTTACTTCAAGACTCATAGCATGTTGTCCTTGTAGATATAACATCTATGTGGTTAACCTTCTTGCATTACTAACTGCTTGGATGTTTCTCAAGAAGAGAAAAGAGGGTGGGTTTTCTGATTTATGGATCGTTTTAGCATGTGGGTTAACATTTTAACATCTATTAATATCTGGTGACTTTGGGTTCGATGTGGGTACCTCTCCACATAGAATTATGGTTTGACCTTAACACCTTACTATGATTGCAGGGTTGTTAATTTTCTTCGATTTGCCTTTGTGTTACTGCTGGAATAATTACAATGTTTTCAACTTTCAAGGGTTGGCCAAAAGCTATTTTGCCTTTACATAGTATTGTACTTAAAGATGGTAGAAATGATTATCTGTATGCTAAATTTCAAAAAAAAAAAAAAAAAACCAAGAGGGGGAAAAGTGAGAAAATGAGGGGGGGGGAAATTCCTCAAATATTTAATGGCGAAAAAGAAGAAAAACTAAAGTGATGGAAGAACATGAAGAAGGTCCAAAAAGAAAACATTTGGAATGGGTAAAAAGTAGAGATTAAAGAAAAAGAAAATGAAAAAAGAAAGAGGAAGATTTGAAAGAAAAATTCATATGAAAAAAAGGGAAAAAAGAGAAAAAAAATCTATATGATGGAAATTTTGATTAGTTTAATATGATGCATGTGGAAAATTTATATTTGAAAAATCAGGGAGATAAAAGCATTATGATACCAGTCCCTGAAAAGTGTAACTGGGCTTGTTTGGAGTGGATGGATGGAGGTAGCATGTTACTTAACATGCTTCAACTTCTTGCAAGAGATTTCGTTTGCTTCTTTTGTAGAGCTAAGCCAAGTCAACATATGCTCTCTAAGATGCAAAAACATCGTTGCTGGTGGTTATTGGAGTATGAACCTCAGAAATTTGTGGTCATTTGGCTGATGCGGTGAGAGGCATTTGTTTGCTTCTTTGTAGCCTTAAGCTCTTGTAGTCTGTTGTTTGTGGAAATAACATTGTTCTTATTTCTCTCATTTTTAGTTGTTTCTGTCAAATTTGTCCTGCTTTTGAGAAAATGCACCCTGCTAAAACACTTCTTTTAAGAACTGGATGGATGAATTATCTTCCTGGATATCCTTTAAGAATTTGCTCTTGAATTTTTTTCTTCAGCTGGGGGATCATATCACTAGAACTTGTATTCTATGGTTAGAGAAAATTCTCTCCCGGAAATTTATTTTTTTGATAAATATGTCTGGTTTCCATCAATCTGTGGGTTCTCTCCATAGTATTTTGGTTATATCCTCATTACCATGTTTCCTTAAACGTCTCTTATTTGGAGTTACCCATTTTATTTTGAAGTACACAACAGTCTTGATGTTTTTACTGCTTCAACTTTAGTGAATATTGATACGAAATTGTATGTTGTGGATAAATACAGGGTTAGATGCTAGAAAATTAGCATATGTAGTAGGTACTGCATATTATGTATAGAATTATAGTCAACATGACAAGATAGGAAATATTTGAGTTGCTGTTGCTCTCTTGATATTTCACGGGAAATTTTTTGAGCAGCAATTGGAAATTGCCGAATTTGGTTACATTGTGGTGTTTATTAGACCTCTCAAATTAGAATTTTGTTGAAACATAAAATCATGTTTGATTTAACATTTCAAGGAGTTTTAGTAATAGGAGTTGAATGGTGGCACTGCTGAGAAAGATAATTTTGAGTGCCAGAAGATTGATCGACTTTGATAATTGAATGACATTGCCTAGACCTTGAAGCAAACATGTGAACAGCCTGTTTATTTGGTGTTTGCTAACAGAAAAAAGTTGTGTCTCTAAACCTTATCCCCCCACCCCTAATGGAACCTATCATGTTTTCTTTCTCTGCAGCCCCAGAAGGTTTAAGGTGAAAGTATCATGATAACCAAACAAATAATGGAGCTTTTCTTTGGTACTGCTGCCCGACTATCGTTTCTCTTTGAGAACCTTCAGTTGAATTTTATTCTGCAGGTTGATTATGCATGCACACCTGAAGAAGTGCAGCAACATTTCCAATCTTGTGGCACTGTAAATAGAGTTACAATTCTGGCAGACAAGTATGGTCAACCAAAAGGATTTGCTTATGTAGAGTTCCTGGAAGCAGAAGCTGTTCAAGAGGCTCTTGTGCTGAACGAATCTGAATTACATGGCCGCCAGTTGAAGGTATTATGTTTTCTTTAATAGTAAGAAGCTTGGTCTTCTGTTTCTTCAAAATGGAGCCAGGGCCCAGGTGGTCCTTTTAATAAGGGCTTTGTGGTTTCTTTAGCTACTAATGATGCCTTTCTAAAAACATATTTTTGGGTATTCCTTGTGATATTCAGGTTTTGCCAAAAAGGACTAATGTTCCAGGGATGAAGCAGTACCGTCCAAGGCGATTCAATCCTTATATGGGCTACCGGTCCAGGAGGCCCTATGTACCGCCTTATTTTTATTCTCCTTATGGATATGGGTGTGCTTCTTCTCGTGCATAGATTCTCTTCCTCCTGTTCACAAATTAAATCTTATTTTCTTTTTCTTCTTACTTCAAGAACCCATGGCAGGAAGATTCCTCGATTCAGGAGGCCAATGCGGTATATGCCCTACTACTAGAACACCGAGCTGGTGATGACATGCTTACTGTGTCTGGGTGATTTGATTGAGGAAGTATAAATCTTATTCCAGGCATTCTGCGCAGAGTATATGCAATTTGAACCATGTGCTATGTATGTGCTGTATGACATGTCCAAAGTATGGGAATTAGTTATAGTTTAATAATTTGGACAATATGAATTATGAATGGTGCTGTGCAATTTTCTCATCTTAGTTATGTTTCAAATTACTTGAAATCGTTGTCAATACTGTGATGTGGTTGAATTAATAGCCGATTGTTATTTATAGGGTTGAGCAGTAATTTGACATCACTCACTTTGGGTGCTTCGGTTCTATTTTCCATTTCATTGTTGCCTATTTGTTTAAGCTTTAAACCAAGGGAAGTTTAAGCAGGTTTCGTGCACCACCAACTCTTCCGTCTCGGTAAATTTAATATTTCATTTTTAGTATGGACATTTGGATATCGTCTTCTTCTTTTGTCTATGTATATAATTAAATTATCAGAGAGAAATGAACCATCTGTGTTGACTTAGTATCAAACTATCAAAATAAAGTTCATATTAAGTTAGAAAATAAATAAAAATCATTTATAAAACAAAAATAAACATCTTTGGACAATATTTTCCCTTATATCAAAATGAAAATAGGAACAGAAGAATTGAGGAATAAAATAAAGGTAAACTATTATGATGAATTTTTGTTTTATAAATGTTCAATTTTAGTTATTGAATTTTGAAAGTTAACATTTTGGCCATTTATATTATTGATTTATAAAATTTTAATCACGGGAACGTTAAATGTCACTAGTTTGGTGACGGATGATTTTTTCATTTAACAATTGGTCTTGGATTTTATAACTAGATCTATCAGTGGCTCTTTAAGGGAAGTATGATTTTATATTAGGGGAATAAACTTCTAAAATTTTAGAGGAGATAAATTTATAAAATTTTAAGGACGAAAACATATTATTAATAAAAGTATAAATAAAATATTTAAAATATATGATAATTTAAAATTTATCGGGATGAATATTCCACTTGCTCTCTCTTGGTCCAACCCAACACATCGACTCCCTCAACTCATGGCATATTAGTGTTGCTGAAAATTAGAACTCAACCAAAATAAGATCATGATCTCCCATGCTGGGAAATGGAGGGCATGGAGAAAAGGTAATAATTAATAAAAAGAAAAAGGTCACGTTTTAGTCAATTTAAGAAGAAATTGAGAGGAAAACTGAAGAGAAATTAATTCAAAACTCATGTTATGGTTGCTTCCCAAAACAGAGAAGATGAAATTGTTGAAAAAAGAATCGGTAAATAGCTACATAAGGGCTCCTCCTTCGGTGTGCATTTCGGTGCACAATTTTAAAGTTCAACGATCATCAACGTCGACTACTAATGATGATTAGTGATGGTGATGATTGATTATGAGAATTTTTTTATCAGATTAGAATCAAATTGATATTTTACCAAAAAATTAGAGACTCAATTGATATTTATATAAAATTTAAAGATTAAATTATAATTTATTTAAAATTTAGACGTAAAATTAGAGTTAACTCCTTTAATTAATGTATTACATCATGAAAATTCAATGATCAAAAGTAAGTATTTATGGAATAGAAGTAGCCATTTTGATAATTTACCCATAATATATATATATATATATATTGGATGAAAAATATTATAATAAAAGAAAAATACCTATCGGATATGAGGCTGAAACTTCACCTAGCAAATTCGTTCTGGCGCAGTCTGAGTTAATCTGAACTTTCCCAAGCTAACGTGCGCAGATAAGCCCTACTCGCTCGAAGGCATTGAATTCATCGCCATCTCCCCCTTCTCACCAAGAACAAACGAACATAAAAGGCAATAGAAGAACCCCAACAATGTCTTCCCTTTCAATTCAAATCCATCCAAAACCCTAACACAAACCAGGAACGAACAATGTCAATCGTGTTTCAAAACCTCTTATCCCCTCCGCCTCCTCGTTTAAACACTTATCTCAAAAACCCTTATTCATTCCCTCCAATCACCTCCCGCCATCTAAGCTTCCCCATCTCGGATTCCGGTGTTTTACAATCCCAGATCCGAAACTTTCTCAATTTCAACTCCCGCCGTCCATCTTTCAATTCCTTTCCCAAAGCCTACGATCCAGATTCTTCAATTGCCACCTCACCAGAACAAAACCCCAATTTTAATGCTATCGATTTAGATTCTTGTCTGTCTGCCGCTGAACTTTTCTGCATTTGTTCTTCGGCCGTTGTTTCCGTTGTTTATGCCGTTTCGGACTGGAAAGGTGTCGTTTTGGGTGGGATTTGGAGAAGTATCATCGTATGGAGAGTTTTAGGATTGGTTGGTGGGATTGCCATTGGGGCGTGGATTAGGAGGCGTCAGTGGCGGAGGATTTGTGTAGAAACGGCCAACGCTGGTGGAAAAGGACTGAATTTGGTCGGTAGGGTTGAGAAGTTGGAGGAGGATTTAAAAAGTTCCGTTACGATTATCCGTGTTTTGTCTAGGCAACTTGAGAAGTTGGGAGTTCGATTTCGGGTAACAAGGAAAGCTTTGAAACAACCTATTGAAGAGGTAACAATGTTGTAATTCTTGTTGCTTGGTGTTTTTAGTTAGAGAACTAGAGTTGAGTAATTCTTGCTGCTTAAGTTTTTAATTGGAGAGTAAATGGAGTCGAAGAAATAGCGAATAATAATTAAAAAATTATGCATTTTGAGTTGAATAATTTCTCTGTCTTCGTTAGGCAATGAAGGAACTTCTGAATCAGTCAACTAGGGAGTGTGTTTCTTAGCAGTTAGTCTACGGTTGTAAGAGTTTATAAAAAGGTTTAGTCAGAATGAAAGAAAGGAAAACAAAAAAAGTAAAATATGTACGAATTTTGTCTAAAAAGAAAGAAAGGATACGGTGACACATGTTTACAAGAATTGGGCCAACGACGGCAGTGACACGAGTGTATAGGTGTTGTATTCAATCACTCAATTTAATGCATGTTTAAATGACTATATTTAAACACTTGAAAAATCATGTGAGATTTGAGAATCTCATCACCGAAGTTACTGATTTTGAGCTTTCAGAGACATGTTCTAAACTTGATCAGATCCGTGCCAATACAACAGTTAAAGGAAGTTTTGGATACTCGAATTCTTTGCCAGTTGTTGCCTTTTGAAATACTTGTAACCTAAGTATCCAAAACTTCTTTAATTGTCCTCTGATCAAGTTAAGGACTTATCATTGACTACTCAAAATTAGCAATTTTGGCCATATGATTCTCAAATTTCACATTGTTTATACATTGATATTTTTTTCAAGTGTTTAAATATAGTCTTTTAAATATGCACTCATTGGATGATTGAAGATAAGGCTTATACAGGCGTGTCACCGTCCGACCTAACTCGTGTAACATGTGCCATCCGCATTCCTTCTTTTTGGACAAAATTTATACTTTTTTTTAACATTTTTGGGTTCCTTTTTCCTTCCTTTCATTTTGGCATAATCTTGGAAAGTTTTGATCGACTTCTTGTGACGTAAATAAAAATACTTGTCAAAAGCACATATGACACTGCGTATCTTTGCTCAAAAGGTGTTATTTAAGTAATTATTAATTTTTTATATATTTAGGAAAATAGCAACTGATCCAAAAAGCTTACATTTCAAGTTACCATCGAAGATGTCTAATTGGTGAATGAGAGATTGTTCTCCCTAGGGGGCTTGAGCAGCTGTGTCTGCAGGGTGTGTGTATATTCATTGTCAATTGGCAAAGAAAATTCTAAACAGATATTACCTTGTTATCACCCTAGACTATAAAAAAAATCATTTACTTGCTTCCCAGTAAGATGCTGTTTAGTATTTAATAGCCTGCTTACTATCTCATGAATTTAGGTGTGTAATTGGACTCCTCATTTTCTCAATAGTACCCATAACTGACACCTTTTTCATGCACATCTGTTGCCTATTTGGCCTAGCATCTAACACTTTGACTTGATATAGATGAATAAACGAATGGGAAGGCAAGCTTTTGATAACAAATTGTATTTTGTGATTTGTTCTTATGTTTATAACTTCCTCGTGTCTAAAGACTGCAGCCTTGGCTCAAAAGAATTCTGAGGCTACTAGAGCATTAGCAGCTCAAGAAGATATCCTGGAAAAGGAGCTTAAGGAAATTCAGAAAGTTTTGCTGGCAATGCAGGTAATATTTTACCATTGTTTGATTATTATTATTATTTTTTTTTAAATTTTCTGAACTTGTTGGTAATATGCTCGGTTGGTATAGGAGTTCCATAATGGCACTTCTAGTAAGTTAAATTTGGTTATAATATTAGTTGCATAAGGGTTTTAAAAGAGCAGCTATGTCAAGCTTTTTTCTGTCTATTATTGTGGTTTTGAATGCTTAAAAGTTTATATGGCTTGGATTTAGCTAGCCTTGAGCCTTATTAAAACCGATAAAAAGTAAATGAGCCGTGATACAAAGACAAGATAACTAAATTGCATACTAGTTGATCCTTAGTCATTGTACCAATGGAGAACTTGTCTTCATCGGAACTAACAATCAGTAAGAACAATACAGCTTGTGGCTGTTGGATTCTCAACATGTGAATTAATTGTTAATTCAACACATGGTTTGTCATTGGATTCTCAACATGTGATTGGTGATGTATTCTATAGGAGCAACAGCAAAAACAACTTGAGTTAATCCTTGCAATTGCAAAGTCAGGCAAGTTGTTCGAAGACAAGTGGGGACCTAGTCAAGGGAAAGATACAGTTGAAGCGTGTAAATCAACCGAGACAAAACAAATGGAAGTCCATCAGAGTCAACCTTTAGGTACAGCCAGGGGATCTAGCAATGACAAATCGTAAGAATTCAAAGCGGCCGATGTAATTGGTGTAAGTTCAACAGTGTAATGTCAGTTTGTCTGATCCTTCGGCATACAAGACTCTGTCTGATCCTTCGGCATACAAGACTCCTGGACTGCCATAGAATTCACCTTAGCTGCTTGGGCATAAACATTTTTTTGTTTTCTCAAGAACTTATTGCCAGTTGACGGTTTGACCCTTGCAGCCCTGCTGCAATTGAAGATGGATGAAGAGCTAGAAATGTTTGGTGACATAATAAAATGGTGCACTTTGCTTAGCTTGTATCTGTAATTCTTCTTTTGCATTATATCCCTGATAATCATACAGAAACCTTTTTTTTTGGGTTATTGTTGTATTTTCTCTAATGTTATAATAAGATATTCAAAAATAGTTTTGTTTTGGTACACCTTGCTGGCGTCCCTTTCAATAACAATGGATTATAATGAAAATTACAAGGCAACTATGTTCTTTAGCTCAACAACAATGAAGACAAAGGCTTTGGCTTAATGATGAAGCATTGGAAAAAAGAGCTTTAAAGACGAATCATGGTACTTTTCTTCGAATCCTCAAATTTGACATTTTGACATGATTTTTTTTAATAAACATAAGCATCGACATAAAGTCAAAAAGATTAAAGGGCAAACCTCCTTTCTGTCGCAATCTGATCAATTTCTTTGATATTCCATGGAAATCACCATATACACTAATTTGGGCCATATTTACAAATTCCACTCCTAATTGTATAATCATTGTAGGGACGGTACTGAAGCATGGAAACGCTATGAGATATATACCTCAATAACTAGGGAAATACATTCTGCTACTGATTACAAGTTCTTTTATTACAAAAACTCCTAGGAAAACTTGTTTATACATTACATTAGAAACACACTGTTTGTACATAGCAAAGTGCTCACCGCAGTCAAAGTTGACCGTCCGTGTGGAGCTATCTGATATCTCATCACCGTAATCAATACCGACATCTCCAGCAACAAAATCCCAGGCCAAGTAACCAGAGGAACCTGAATAATTTGAACAATCATCCCAGCCCTTCATCCCAAAATAGTCCACAACGAGAGGTCCGACCACCTTCAGCTGTGAGAATTTCTTGACAAAATTTTCATCTAGCTTTACATTCCAACATCCCCGCACGTCTAATAATTCAAGGTCAGGGCAGCTTTCAAGTATTTTGAGCACACCTTCTGTACTAATAAGCAAGTATGCCACCTCAAGTTGCTTGAGCTTCGGCATTGTAGTAGCAATGGCAAGGGCTTCATCATCTTGAGACAGTTTATCTACTACCTCTAATGGGTGCATTGTTCTCCTCAACCCCATTAGTAACTTACAGTGCTTGCCTATTGCTTCAAGGGCCAGGGATCCAATATTCCTGCAGTAACTAACATCCAAGAAAGTCACCGAGGACAGCCTCCCAGCAACCTGTTCCACTACTGAATCACTTATTTCACTTCTTGACAGCCGTAAAGTCTGAAGAGATTTGGCACTAGAAGCAGTGGGAAGCAAGAGTAAATAACAAAAGCTATATACTAATTAACAACATCCAAGGAAGTCATAAACCATTCATTTATCATAGGATACACTTCAGATTCTTTACCATGATGTTTGGTTATTGTTCCTTACTCCATTAGTAAATATTCAGAATACATAACTTCAACAAATTCAAAGGAAATGAAAATCACAAGAAACTTCATCTATTAATTTTCAGTTTAATATTAGTTTTAGCACCTATAAAGAGATAGCAGATAGCAGATGTAGGGATATAAGGAGAAAATGCAATTGAGAGCCATAGATAGCGACATGTTATGTCCTTACTTATCTGAAATGAACAAAAAGCTCTGGTCATTAGGGAGACCGGTAACACAGAGCTTGCGGAGTGAACCCGAGCTCCAAGTTATCAGCATTTGAAGCATGCGGTCAAGGATCTCCGGCCGACATTGTTGGCTCCATTTTTCGATGTCAATGTCCTGCCAGCAATAAGGTCCACCAACTGCTCTCCGCCATGATTTGCACACCCTTGGGATCACAGTAAGTATCTCCTGGAGTGGAAGATTCTTGAAAATCAACCCAAGCGCATCTGGAAGCAATTCATCCCAGCACCTGAACTCACCATCCTCTTCCATCTGTAAACAAGAACTGAAAATCATAATTCATAACATGTTAAAAAAAAATAGACAGACAAGCTATATAATCTTGTAGTCGGAAGAAAATAAAGATGCGTGTAGTTCATTAGAAGCCAATGAAAGGCCTAAATTATTAGCACAAAAGCAGATGCCAAATAGAAAAAACTGGAACAACAACAATAAATAATCTGGTTTTCTAGTAAAAGAGGCAAGCTTTAAGCAAAAAGATAATTGAAAATGAAGAATATATATTTTACCTTAGCATCACAACTAGAAACCCAAATCCGAACACCTTTTGAAATCTTCTATTCCAAGCACATTGATCAAATAGCTAGGAGAAAATAATCATACCCAGATCAAGAAAGAGCTAAAAGAATCCAATTATGCAACAAAAAAGAAAAAAAAATAACTAAAGAAGAAAAACTTTTACCCAACAAGCCAAAAAGGTCACTAATAGCTAGAAAAAATAGATAAGAGAAAAGCAAGTGGCATCATTTTATCGTTATTAACATCACTAAAGAAGTCAATGCAATAACACTGTTCCACACAAAAAAAAAACTTCTCTTTGAATAATAAAGCAAAACTGACAAGAGAACATGAACATATATGTACTAGTTCTACACTTTATAGTTAGCAAGAAAGAAAGAGAGAACATTTTTACCAGAAGTTCTGTTTATTTTTCGCTGGATCTGCAAAGAACGCGGTTTATCCGCCAGAAAGAAAGCTTAAAAAGAGAGGAAAACTGAAAGAACAGTGAAGAAAGAGAGATTAGAGCTATGAGTGACAGCAGATAACTACAGAAAGAACAGGGAAAATTGATAAACGTGAATGAGAAGTGTTGAGTAAATTATTGAATGAGAAACTGTCGGGAAACAATGGGAATTATATAATATCTATGTCTCCAATTCATTTTTCGAAGATATTTTAATTTTATATCTATTAAATTTTAAGATTAATTATATATTTGATCATTCACTTATTTTAATGTTTATGTTTTAATTATCTAATTGTATTTTGTTTTGTACTAATAAAATATTTAATTTAAGTAATAATAATAATAAACCAAAATATAATAGAAATCTAAAATAACATATCAATTATGGATAATCATTTTATTCAGACTATGAATTTAGATTTCACCTAATTTTGACGAGTTAATTTTTTATTTTAAAAAGTTCGGTTTGAAGAGGGTCGGGTCAAATTTGTTTTAGGGTATAGCCAAGTTAGATTTGAGTTCAATCCTAAATTCGAATCCGACCTAACCCACATAATATTATAATTATCATTTATATATTTAAAGATAAATATAATAATACTTTTTTCTATTTTGTTTTTTAATTAGATCTTTTTTACCTAATAAAAGATAAATTATATATATTTAGATCAAATTAGATTGGATCATATTAAATCAGATGTGAGTTTTTATCTAAAATATTGAATTAGATTTAGAATCCGTAGAGATTTTCTTAAATTTGAACTGAATCATGTACAAATGAAAAATTTCAGATCTAATCAGGTTTAAATAAACTAAAGATCCGACCAAATTTAACTCATTTGTACAATTATCAAAATTCTTTTAACTCCATCGTACAATTAGCAAATCACAATTTGTATAATACAAATAAAAACTTAAATATATTTCTTTCTTTCTTTTAATCTATTTCTCCCTTGTTCGCCGCTGCTGCTTCTCCTCTATTTCCTCTTTTAATCCCTATGTATATCTTCCTCTTAACACGTAAGGAGATTCAATGGTTGGATACTTACCATTCAAAGTGTGGGGAAATTCTTGCTCCTTACATAGGTTGGAATGGCTGAAGACAAGAGTCATAGATGACGAGCTTTTTTTTTTTTTGAATTAATCAGATGAAGAGCTTTTTAACATGTCTTCCGTCAATACATATAACAGACAGAATGTAAGAAGAATAACAAATAAAAAAAAACTACAAGGAAATATATAAGAGTCATCAGTGACCAGCTTCTATGTTGCTTTGGGATACTTACAAAATTTAAAGATTTAAAAACAAGTGTGCGATCAGCATAGAGAGGCGGCGGCCACCACTGAACAAATAATTGATGACCATGGTGGAGAATGAGTGTTGGGGAAGATTTTGATTCGAGATATGAATTTTAACATCTTATATTGGAACAAATTGATATAATTTTTAAATATTTATTTTGAATTATGATTAATTTGATAAAATATATAAGTTTTAAGGACTAAAACTATTATTATATCATGTCATATCACTATACCTAATTTAATTTAATTATCAACTAATTTGATATATATAATTTAATTATGACATTAACTCAATCATAGCTTTAATGATATTTTCGATTTTTCATAATTTTGTATAATCTTTAAATAAAAAAAATTAAAAATTTCTTAGTTGATATTTTGAACACTAGATTAATAATGTCGTATAGATCTTTTATCATTTCATATATAATCATTTATTAAACAATAATATTATTGTTTACTGGCGAGGTTGAGTTTATCTACAACTTTGAGGCACCAAATTCAAATTTCATTTTATGTAAATTACATGCGAGTTCTTTCAAAATTTTATTTTGATTTCATGTTCGAATATACTTCAAACTTCAAATTTTATTGTGTATTATAATGTTTAATTATAGTTATAGAGTAAATTTAGGTAAATAATATTATTTATATAATTAACTAATTAAGGGAATGTCACTCAGGAAATGGCATTCATTTCAGTCACGTAAGCTAAGACGTATTTCATCAATAATATTCTGTTGAAAGCCATACATGTTAGTCCAGGCAAAAGGGGTTGTTAATCATACTCATCTTTTAGTAATATTTCTTCTAAACTCGGATTTCAATTGTTGAGTTAATTTATAAAAAACAATTTTAGAGTTTTAAAGGATTTAAAGTTTTTAAAAAGGGTTTGAGTTGAAGTTTTTATAAATTAGAATATGTTGGGAAATAGATTAGTTCTAGAGTTTGTTGTTTTATATTTAAGGGTTTTAGAGGCTACAATTGTAGGATATTGGTTTGTGTTTGAACATTTCAAATGTAAAGACATTATATATAAAGATATGAAATAAATATATGATTTGATAAAAGTTTATATTAATATGAACAAATGAAGAATCAAAGTTTTATGGTTCTAGGTTGTGAGATATCAATAAAATAGAACATTTTTTTGTTGTCTTGAGTTTCTACAATGATCACATTGTTTTGGTTGTCCAATCTTTTCTCTAATATTCATATCAGAGTGAATTTTAGTAGTCGGATGACATTTTAGATGGAAACATAGTGAAGGATCTGATAGCACCATAAATTCATTGTCAACCTCGTTGTATTTTCGTTAGAGAAAATAACATCAGTGACCAAAAATGCCTTATAATATACGATTTTAACCAGCTTTTTTTGGATTTGCCAAAATGACCAACTAAATCGCAATGCGATCGATAATTCGCAACGCGATCTCTGGTATCGCAAATCAGTTTCCAGATTCGCAACGCGATTCTGACTATCGCATTGCGATTTCCCAAATTCGCGTTGCGATTTTCCTAAATCGCAATGCGAATCTGTAAATCGCAATGCGAATCTGTAAATCGCAACGAGATTCTCACTATCGCAATACTGAATTTCAAATTCGCAACTCGATTTCTGAATTCGCAACAGGTTTTAATTTCGCAACACAAATGTTTTGGGTATATAACTACGCAGCAGCAACAACTCATAACCCATCTCCATCTATCACTCTCTCCGACGACATCCGTTCCTATATCCAACGACATCCTTCCCCATCCGGCAATAGGTTTTAGTTTCGCAGCTTGTTTGTTTAGTAAATTAATTTACAATAATGAAATCATCTAATGTTGATCATGTTTGGATAGATTTGTGTTTTGGAGGGTCATGGGAGAATGTTCATGGTGTTTTACAATATATGCCTTTACCCATGAATCTTCAACTAAAACTGTCATTAAAAAAGTTAACTTATGAAACTCTAATGTTACGTGTTGAATATAAATTGAATTTAGAGCCCCTAAGTGGATTTAGGTTATCTTATCAGAGAAATGGTAAAGTTTATTTGTTAACCGACAATGAAGATGTTGAACGATTCATTGCTTACATTAGTGTTTCAAGTGATGATGTTACATTGTATGTTGTTGAACCTAGAAGTAGTGAAGTTGGGTCAGTAGCGGGTAGTAATCAACTAAGTTTTTCAACCCCAGTTTACGGTGCTCAAAATTTAATGGTTCCACCACAATTTCATCACCAAGCAAATATTGTTTCACCACATTTCCAATACCAAACACAATCTCAAAACCCACAACCTTTCCCTAATACTTTGATCTTGGTCAATACCCAGTTAGACGATGATGAGCCAACAGAAAAAATTGTGAGTACTAGTCAGTATTCGAAATTTGATCTTGGTCAATACCCGGACTTTGATCTTGGTCAATACTTGGATTTTGATGATTTTTCAGAAGAAGAAACAGACCCTGCGTGTAATGATTTTGATATTGGTCAATACTCGAATTTTGATGATGAAACAGCCGTTGCCGAGGAAGATGTTGTTGATGATAATGAGGAGGAAGTTACGACTGTAAATGAACATGTTAAACATCCATTATGTAATTCATATAACACTGAAGAAGAAAAAGAAGAAGAAGAAATCCCCAAAGAAAAGTCCCCGAAGAAAATGCCACGGGAGTATAACTGGAATATGCCAGAATTACTTCAGATACCGGAAGAAGAGTTGGTAAAGATAGCAGTTGATTGTTACACAAAAATTATTCGTATCAAGAAAGATGATTGTTTTGATACAAAGAAAGACTTGAAGATAGCTTTGTATACGAAATGTGTGGAAGATGCCTATCAACTAAAAGTTAACAAATCAAGCAAAGATCGTTTCGAAACAAGGTGTATGATTGACAAAAACTGTATGTGGCGTATGATTGTAAAGTGGATAAAATATTGCGAAATGTTTCAAGTTAGGACTTTTATTGATAAATATACATGTTCAAGAACCCAAGTTTTTCCTCACAATAGACAGGCAAACAAAAAGGTGTTGGGTAGTTTTCTGGCTGAGTTAATGTTTTTGAATGGTAGGGTATATCGGGGACATGAAATTATGACTGACATGAATGCTCGGTTCAAGATTAATATCTCATATTCTCAAGCTTGGAGAGCCAAATGTTATGCCTTGTAATTGTTGAGGGGGTCGCCAGAAGCATCGTTTGCCCAACTGCCGGCTTATTGTCACAATTTAAAGCTAAAAAATCATGGGTCTGTAACTCATATCAAAACAGATAGAGATGGACGCTTTGAGTTGCTGTTTATCGCCATTGGTGCTGCGGTTAGTAAATCAATATAATTTTGTTGACTCATTTTTGTTAGTTACATGCATTTCACATTTAAATGATTATATTTCTTGTGTATATGATTTTGTAGATTCGTTCGTTTATTAATTGCATGCGCCCAGTTATTATAGTTGACGGAGCACATTTAAAAGGTCGATACCTTGGAGTAAACTTATTAGCAGTAGCCATGGATGCTAACAATGGGATACTGCCAATAGCTTACTGGGTTGGCAAATCTGAAACCTCTGATTCATGGACATGGTTTATGGGGCATCTTAGGGATTGCATAGGTCCTATTAGCAATATGACAATCATATCCGATAGGGCAAACTCAATTGACAACGCTGTTAGAAGGTGTTTTCCCAGATGCTTTTCATGGACTTTGTGGTGTTCATTTGTATAGAAATCTAAAATCAAGGTCTGTTGGTATAAAAAATCACAAATGGACATACTGGAAGGCTGTAAAAGCTTATCGGGAAGTGGATTTTAATAAGCATATAAACTGTTTAAGACGTGTTTT